AGCCACAGCGCGGGCCAGCAGCCGCCATGCCCCGCGGCGGCAGGTGCTCTGCTCCAGCTGCCGGAGCCTGCACGGGAAGACTCGGTGCTTCCCGGCAGCGCCTGCAGCCGGCTGCTGCAGCAGAACGCCCGCCTGCAGCAGGCCCTGCAAGACCTGGAGAGGCAACGCGGTGCCCTTGAGATGCAGAACCGCCTCCTGAGAAGGAGAAGCTCTGCAGCAGCACGCGAGGAGGCAGAGAGGCTGCAGCAGAAAAACGCTCAGCTGGCTGCCCTCACCGAGCGGCTGAAAGAAAGGGGCAGGCAGACCATCGGGCACCTGATGAACGCTCCAGTGCCACTGCCCACCCAAAGCTCTGCTGAGGAACCGTGCATGAAAGCGCTTCCTCAGCAGCGGGCTGGAGAAAGCAGGGAGCCTGCCGGAGCTTTGCTGGCACAGGACCAGCAGAATGAAGCCTCACAGAAGGCGGCTGAGCAGTCTCAGGCCCAAGTGGCTGCAGACGACGAGGGCTCACGTTATGTGAGCCGCCTCAGCCAAAGGTGCGAGGAGTTAGAGGCGCAGCTTCTGGAGATGACGGGTGAAAACAGCAGGCTGGCTGAAGAAAATTCTCGCCTCCGTGGGCAGATGAGCTGGGCAGAAAAGGTTCAAGCGGAAAACGCTGACCTGAAGGGGCAACTGGCGCGAGTGGCACAGGAGCGAACTTCTGTCACCCAAGCCATCGGCCGTCTTCAGACCCAGCTGGAAGCTGCAGGGCGCAAACTGGAAGCCGTGAGAGAAGCGGCAGAAAGTGCCCAGAGACAAGTAAAAAGGGAGCACGGAGAAGGCAGGCAACCCTTTCGAGCCCAGGTGAGTGAACCAGAGAATCGGTTTCCGAGCCCTCAGAGTCAGCTTGGGCAGAGGACAGTCCTGGGTCCTGCCGGCTTTCAGAGGAGGACCCCAGCCGTGAGACACAAGAACCGGCAGCAGACAAAGAGTCCCTCATCCTGCGGGCGCTGGGGCAACCGCCGGGAAAGCTTTGAGCATCCATAGCTCGATACAGCTCCCATCCTTGTGATGGTCCCAGTGAGCAGCCTGAACTGCAGCTTCCTCTAACTGCTGGGCAATACGTTTATGTCTTTGGACAGGTGGGTGAAGCCGCTTGGTCTGTGGGAGAGCTGGTGGGCAGCACAAGAGGATTCCTCCCCTCTGAGTTTGCCACAGACGATTCAGAAAACGACCTGGAAAAGGAGAACTGGGATGATCCTCGTTATTATGTTTTTGGTCTCTCGCCTATGCCGGAGGAAGAGGAAGAGGACCTAGATGTGGGTGATGGGGGCTAAAAAGCATAAATAAACATAGCCTATACAAACCTCCAGGAGATCTACAGAAGTGAATTTGTACTTACAAGTGATTTTTGGGGGACTTTTCGATTCTGTAGAATGGGGGGGCCTCTGGAAGGCAGCAGGGGCCTCCAACGGGCCCCAGCAAAGCCCAGAGGAGGCCCCGGGGCCCTCCGGAGGGCAATTAGGGGCCTTTGCAGGGTCTGTCCCCAGAGCTGGACGCAGTGCTCCAGGTGGGGTCTCACCAGAGCGGAGCAGAGGGGCAGAATCCCCTCCCTCGCCCTGCTGGCCACGCTGCTTTTGAGGCAGCCCAGATACGCTTGGCTTTCTGGGCTGTGAGCATACATTGACGCCTCATGTCCAGCTTTTCTTCCACCAGTTCCCCCAAGTCCTTCTCTGCAGGGCTGCTCACAAACCCTTCATCCCCCAGCCTGTATTGATACTGTTTACTGATGGATCCTGTCGTGTTGTAGCTTGGAAGGTGTTGAGAACACACCAGCGTCACAGGGCTCACATGTGCCTCCTCCTTCAGCCTGTCCCGGTCCCTCTGGATGTCATCCCTTACCTTAAGTGAGTCAGCTGCACCACTCTGGTGTCATTCCCATGCTTGCTGAGGGTGCATTGTATGCTAGCAGTTTTTACTTGAGCGCTTCCCTTGCAGCAGATGCACGAGGTACGTCAGCATCCTGCCGTGACCTTTCTGACAGGTAGTTTCTGCAGCTGCCTGTTACCACACATTCCCTTCATCTCTGAATGATCAAGCTTGTGGGGGAGCCTGTTAAGAATTCTGACATAACTCATTGCTGAAGTTGTAACTCTGATTGCTTTCCATCAGAACTGAAATTCCATTCATTTGATGTACAAGTTCAGCTGTTGTCTGAACTAGCAGAAGCTGTATCCCTGATCCAGGGCTGAAATCGGCTCTTCTTAACTCACAGTGCTCCTTCTGGGTTACTAGCTTGTCCCTTATCTACTTTTAATGAGCTGTGTTCTCCAAAAATTCTGTAGGCAAACTGTCTTGCCCCACAGAGATGAGAAGAGCTCCTTCCTGGATTTAAAGGGTCATATAGCCTGAAGAAATGGAGGCTTCAGAAGTAGCGGTCTACAAACTTCTTCCCATATCCCACTCTGTGCCACCCCCCGTTGGGCCACAACGGGATCAGGGAACCGAACCATATTTAGAAATAAAATCTTAATTAGGCTGGGGGGACACATATGTTTAATTCTGTTCCTGTTGATTTCAGAAGAAACAAAATGTGTTTGCTCTTCACCTGGACTCCGACCGTATGGAACTCATTTAGCTTTTGGAAGAGAAGAAAGTAACGTGCACGAGTCAGGAGAATATGAAGAAACAAAATGATTCTCAAAGGGATTTTAGTGAAAGTCTTCTCTTTTATTTGAATGGTTGCCATATTTCGATAGTTAAGTAGAATTGTCATAGGAATGAAAATCGACTTTCCCTTCTTCCCAAGGAATCAAAAAAATGTTATGTACAGAATTTACAATTATATGCAATAGTTTACTGTTATTCTGGACTCCAAAATTTGATATAACAGGTAAAAATGTCCACACTGAAGCTAGAGCAGGATGTGTCCACCCTGTATCTTTCATAATGTTCTGTAAACTTTACCGGTACACTTCAAAATGATTGCTCTTCCAAGGATGAGGAACGTTCCTCACCTGAGATCTTGCTGCTGCGTACAATTTTCATCATCCACAGCCTAAATAATTAAATTGTATTCCTTTTTGAGCAGGTGAGAAGTCAGGCAAAATGGGCCAGATGTGCAAATGTGTTTAGGTTTCTGTTTTCTGTTGGATCAGACGAAAGATGATATAAAGCACGTGTAAAAAAACAATCTACTGAGAAATCAATAGATGTTAGGCATCTAGGAACTTTGGGATTTGAATGGAAATCCTTTGTTTCACGAATTTTCTTACTATTTTTTTGCCTTTCACTTACAGAAGCTTCCATCGTTTTCATGGACTATTTGGCAGAAAGTTTTTCTGCTTTTGGTTCAAGATGCTGAACCTTCGTAACTCCCTCTGTATTCAATGGGCACTACAGACACCTGGTTTCTCTTTAAAAATTGGAAACCTTGAAGAACTCTGAAATAAAGAATCATTATCTCTAACTTAATATTCAGTCAAATGACCACTGAGAGGATTTCTAATATCCACGTGCTATTAGATGAACTGGAACTCAGTCCTGGTGCATTACTAGTAGGACTTTGCTTCGTTACTCAGGTTCATTTTCCAGTCTGAATCTACACAGCTGCTCTGCAATGAGGAAAATTGCTCTGAGCTGGCGGGATCGGAGGTTTGTAACAAAGTGTGCTGGAACACACCCGTGTTGCTAATGAGTGGGAGTGAGCATACGGTGGCTGCAAGATGTCCTCTGTCACCTGAACTGTCGGTCTCGCTCCATGTCACGGTTAGCAGGCCCCTTCCTAGAAACCCTGCGAACAGGCGTCCTCGCTGTGCACCTCCAGCAGTCAGCGCGGAGACAGTGCGATGGTGGAAACTGTGCTTCCCCATCAGCCCTAAAGCAGTCCTCCGAAATCAAGATTAAGGTGTGATGGCAGCACGAAGGTAGATTGCTGCTGCCAGCATCGCCTCGGTTGGGCACATAAATAGCAGCCTTCAGTCTCCTTATGCAAGTGCATAACATGCATGGTAATAAACTGTGCCTTACCCCACTTTCAAGTGCCTGGTCATATGAAAAACAGTTAACCACCCCTGCTACACAAATATGTTACCCAGGAGAGGTGGCAGGCAGCACCAGTGCTGCACTGTGAGCAGCATTATGTAGATGTGTTCTTCCTGGGATCGTGATGCACCCAAGGTTTACATGTTAGCAGGCTTGGCTTTTTAATTAGGGAAACGAAGCATCCATAAGCAGCAAAAGAAAACAAGAGGCTTGAAATCATCCTCATTTTGTATTATACAGAATTTCTATATTCATCAGTATACAAGCGATTGCTAAACAGGTCCTCACTACGTGTACTTGCAATTCAAAACAAGGTGGTTATTATGCAAACAGGTTAGCTTTGTGAAGGCATCTCCAAGGTGAGCTTAACCCTGTCCTATTTGGTTCCTCTTGTCTAAGTCTTACAGGTCTGTAAACGTTCATGTTTTTATACAGAACTGCGGAGTTATCGGCCACGTAGTGTGGCTGATAGTAGTTAGCCTGGATGGCCTTCTGTGGTGGCGGGAGCGTGAACGAGACATAGCTGTGGAAGGAATTAACTCTATGGAGCGGTGACTGGGGGCTGAAGTTGCTGCTGAATATGAGAGTTCTTGGAGGTTGCTTGGCCTGGTGGGTGCTGCCAGCTGAGAGGCTGCTGAAGGGATCGGAAAGGGTGTTAGCGCTTCCCTCGTTGCTGTCGGGGAGGCTGCGCTGGGGGGCCCAGCTCTTGCTGAAGAGGAAGGGCATGGTGCGCGGTGGAGACTTGGGTCCCCTCACTGGCTTGGACAGTGCATAAAGGTGTCGGAACTCTTCATCAAACAGCTCCACAACTTGACCCGTGAACTTGGAGAGGAGGTTGCGGTGAACCTGGCCGCATAACCATGTGAAGCTGGAAGGAGAGACGAGGTAAGGATTAGCGTTAACATCAGCCATTAGGAACTGGAAATCCCCGCAGCGGTGGTGCGAAAGGCAAATGCGTTTTACTGCTGAAGCTTCTTGTCTAAACACAGGATGACGATAGTGTCACAGTTGAATTTCAGGTCAGTTCACATCAGTGCTCTTTGACTTGGATCAACCTTTTGTTATTTCAGCTGCCTCTAAAACCTTCAAGAAACCTTGTAAAGTTATACAACCTCCTAAAGTGGTAATCCACATCCACTGCAGGACTAAATGTCAAATACAATACCCAAGGTCTGGCTGCTGTTCCATAGAAAGGAGGTTAGACCCCTATTTTGGGTACCTCTCTTCCATGCACAACGTTTAAATTAAGGTGTTACCGTGTCTTGTTTGCACACACATAAATTGTACCTTCCCTGCAGAATGCTGTGCCAGTTGGTAACTCTCACCCACTCAAAACTGACCTTAGAAAGACTAGCGAAAAATAACCATCCTTTGTTTTCATTTTGCTGTACTTTTTCTGCATTGGTCAAGAGAAACATAAAAACCCAACCTCCCTGTCACACCCCATTCCCAGAAAACAAACTGCCACACCTGACAAATGCTTATTTTCTTCACTACAGAGAAAACGAAATTAAAAATATTTCCTATAGCCTTTCCAAAAATAAAAATACTACTTTGCTATAAAGTAAGGGAGAAACACCGCAATAGTTTTCCTTCTGGTAGTCCAGAGACACACCTTAGGACACCCCATAGCTTTTAAATGATTTTTCTTTTATGTGCTTCCCTAATCCACTTGGCAAACATAAATTGGTGCTCTTTCACAAAACCACAAGCCAGCTTGGTTGTGCTGCGCAGGCTGCAGCAGCGGCATCAATAAAATGAGCATAGTTGAGAGAATGAAATGTAATTACTCCCTGAGCTGACCGGGGCTTGAGCCGTGCAGCAGGGGATACAGAGCAGCGCTGGATTTGAACCCAACGTTATTCTACGTTGGCAAAACTCTGCCCTGGTTATCCCTGTGTGACTTTTATTAGCCATGCTGGATTTGCACAAGGATGGCCGAGAGCCAGATTTGGCTGTAGGTGTGTGCACTTTACATCTTGTTCTTGACGTGTTTTGACAGAACTCCTGTGAAACTCAGTGGGACTGACAGCCTGAGCAGACGCTAAGGGAATAAAGACAGACGATTTACAGCTGCCCGTTCAGAGCATTCTCAAAGAGGGCTGGGTTTGGGGCACACAGTGGTTTCGTACTGTTGCTTCAGGAGCAAGGGAGGAGTGAAGAAATCAATGCCACCGGGCAACCCAACAATGTATACTGTCCATTTTATGATTGGACATGAAAATATATACTAAGTTACTAGAATACAGGTACTTCTCATCCACTTTGTTCAAATCATTCTAAATACGGACAA